ACTTATGTGTTGGGAGGGCGGGTCGGAGAGAGCTGGACGACTGGCCATCTAGGGGGTGTCTTGAAATGCGCCTCGCGGCTAAATCTGGATCATGCGTAGCCACCCCGCGATCACTGTGAAGTTGTTGTTGGCAGGGACGACGGGGGTGGTGGCGAGTGGCCTGCTGTGCGCAGGCCAACCAGACACAATGATGGGCATTGGTGTTCGACAAGGATGGTGGGGGCCGACATGTTCCCCGATGTGTGCTGTCACATGCGCAGGCGCACCTGACGCACTCTGCACGTGCCCCGAACGTGGCGCACCTGGCGCGGTTTGACTGCGCGGCACACCTGGCGCACTCGGAGCACGTGTGGCGCATCTGGCGCACCAGGCGTGCCTGGCACGCTCGGGCCCCAGAGGTTCCTGGCGCGCGTGGCGCCCCTGGCACGCGTGGCGCACCTCGCCCAAGCGTCGCGCACCTGGGGTCGGCTTTGGTTCCCAGTAGCTGTCCATCCAAAGGCGACTGCTGAACATGCTCAGGCTCGGGTGCCACTTATGTGCTTATGTGTTGGGAGGGCGGGTGGTAGTGAGCTAGTCTGCTTGCCATCTGGGGGGTGCCTTGACCCCTCCCCCTACCCACCCACCCTGGACCTGGACGGGGGTGGTTGGAGGGTTCAAGATGGCCCGAGACGGCTCCAAGAGGGCCCCTGAATCCAAGATGAGCTCCAAGATGGCTCAAGATAGTGCGCGATGCCTCAAGCTGACTCCCAAGATGCTCCAAGCGGCCCCAAGAACGTTCCAAGGCGGCTCCAAGATGCCTCCGAGACCTCGGAGGAGGCCCCGAAGAAGCCAACATCCTTCAACTACCTAAGGCAAGTCCATGATTGTTGTTTTCTCGCCGTTTCGCTTCCGATGGCCATCCGATGCCCCCAAGATGGCCCCAGGATGGCCCAAGAGGCCCCCAGGAGAGACCCAAGTGAGCCACACCACGGCTCCGAAAGCGCCCAAGAGCGCTCCAAGATCGCCCCAGGAGGCGACGCTTCGGGATCCCCCAGGGGGGAGGGGGCGAATTAGGGAACCCCTCTTCTTTGATCACCTCAACTCCCCTGGGCATCGTTTCTGGATGGGCTGGTGGGGATACGCTTTTTTGGTCGGCGGCTCCCTGGCGAAGGTGAAGAAGCGGGGTAACGTCCGGGGCGCGGAACGAAGATGATTGGCCGCAGTGGCGTATGTACATGCCAGGGAGCTGGTGGGGATACGCGAAGCGTCGACAATTTGGCATTATCACCTTTCTGCTTTCGATGGCCTTCCGAGGCCTCAAGATGGCCCCAAGAGGGCCCATGAGCTCCAAGAGAGGCCCACGGGAGCCCCGAGAGTGCCCAAGAGCGCCTCAAGAGGGGTCCAAGAGCCGAGCTTAGGCATTCTAGAATGCCAGGGCTACGTGAGTACCCCCCTTGGTTGATCGATCTCCGCCAAGATGGCCCCAAATAGCGCTCCTAAGACTCCCAAGAGCGCCCCAGGATGGCCCCACGAGGCGCCCAGGCGGCCCCAAGTGGCACCACAGATGTGTCAAAGAGGCTCCCAAGAGGCCCCCAAGAGGCTTCAAGAGAATCCCCGCGGCACCCAAGACGCTCAATGACGGCCCGGGGCTCGCCAAGATGCCCCTTCTCCTCCTCCTTCTCCTCCTCCTCCTCCTCCTCCTCGTCCTCCTCCTCCTCCTCCTCCTCCTCCTCCTCCTCCTCTCCCTTCTCCTTGTCCACTGTTTCTTCCTCCTTCCTCCTCTTCGCCCTCCTCCTCCCTCTCCTCCTCCTTCTCCTCCACCATTCTCCCCCTCTTGGGGTATCGGACGGCTTCCCCCGCCCTTTGTTCCTCTGCATGCTCCCTCACTTCCCTGATCACCTCAACTCCCCTGGGCATCGTTTCTGGATGGGTTGGTGGGAATATTTTTTTGTTCGGCGGCCCGCAAGGAAAAGTCCAGAGGGCGTGTCAATCAACGGCAAAGGGGCGCGATGTCAGATAATTCGCGAGGGCCTGGCCACAAAACTGGTGGGGATACTTTTTTTTGATTTGCGGCCCGCAAGGAAAAGTCCAGAGGGCGGTGCGAGGCAAAGGGGCGCAGTGCCAGATAATTACCATGCAAAAGCCACTGGGTGCATGCCAGCGGCAGAAGAGCTGCCACGGATGGACAGCAACTGAGCACAAGCCAGACCCACAGGTGGGGAAACCTGACCGTTGGGAGACAGGGCAGCGGCACTGCGCAGGCTGATGCCACGCCGGCCCGCGGCAAGAGGCGAGACGCAAGCAAGGACCACTGGACAGATGCCAGCGGACCAAGGGCACCTGGAGGCACCAACGCGTAAATGGAACAGTAACTACGCGGAACCTGCACCCTGGCACCCACGAGTGGCGCGGCACAGGAGAGTACAGAGACAAAGCGGGACAGAGCACAGAAGGTCTAGAAACGCGGTGGACTCATTCACATGGCACCCTGTGCGTACACGACCTCCTGAAGGAGGATCACTTCCGTCGCCGACGATGGGGGGAAGCCACTTAGCATACAGCTGGACTTCAAAGGGTGAAGCACGAGAGGGGGCCTTCAGCCAGTTGCCTCTGCACCACGGCCCGCACTCAACGCGGGCAAAGAACCTGGGTGGGGTTATTCCAGCCGACCGCAGGAGCAAGCACCCACGGGACGCCGCGGGTATCTATGCGCAGTGTAGTGCCCCTCGAACCCAGGAGGTGGCACAAAACGTGGCCAGAGCCATCCACTGCAGGCGGGGACAGATGGGGCGACGCCTTCAGCCAGTCGCCCCGGTCCTCCACGGGCCGCAACGCGGCCAAAAACCGTGGGTGGGGTTATCTCAGCCGACCGCACGGGCTAGGAGCCCACGCGGGCCGTGGGGGTCTAGCGCAGTGTGGGGGGTGTACCTCGCTCCCAGGAGGTAGCACGGGAACCAAGGCCGCGGCCGGCCACTGCGGTGAAACAATCCCCATCCCAGGGTGGGCCGTCAGGAACGTAGCCGCCCAGTGGGAGTCCTTCGACCCAGGGGTCAGCCCCGACTGACACTGCCTGCGTGAGGCGGGACCCATGATATCCGCGCCTCTCAGGCACCAGTGCTGTGGCGACGAGGGAAAGGGGGGTAGCAGCCGATAGCCGCTGGACTTTTCCCCCCCCTCCCCTCAAGGCTATAAGTCGGCGTCGTCGATGATGACGACGCCCCTCCTCGGCTTTCCGCCCCGCGCCGCGGGCCGCACGGCCGCCCCGTCGCCCGAGGCCTCGCGCGCCGCCTCCGCGCCCGAGGGCTCGCCCGCCCCGCCAGACCTTGAGCGCGCCCCGCGCCGCCTCCGCCCGCCGCCGCCCGCGCGGGCGCCACCCGGCCGCGCCGCCGTCTCCGCCAGTGCCCGCGGCCGCCGCGTGCGCCCGTCGGCTTCCGGCGCCTCCGGCGCCTCTGGCGCCTCCAGCGCCGCCGGGGCGAGCGCGAACGCGGGCCGCGCCCCCGCGACTCGCCTGCCGTCGCAGGCGGCGCGGCGGTCGCCGCCGCGGCGGCGGCGCCTGGCCGCACCTGGAGCCGCGCCTCGCGCCGCAGCTCCCGGCGCCGCAGGCCCTCCTCCACCGCGCGGCCCAGCTGCTCGGTCTCCTCCCTCGCCTCCCGCAGCCGCCGCCTGCGCAGCTCCTCGGCACCCTCCGGCCCGACGCCAGCGCTGGCCCGCGGAGGCGCGGCCGCCCGCCCGGCGCCCGCGCTCCTCCCAGGCTTTCGCCTTTCTGCTTTCGATGGCCTTCCGAGGCCTCAAGATGGCCCCAAGAGGGCCCATGGGCTCCAAGAGAAGCCCACGAGAGCCCCAAGACGGCCCCAAGAGTGCCCAAGAGCGCCCCGGGTCCAAGAGCCGAATTTAGGCATTCTAAAAGGCTAGGGCTAATTGAGTACCCCCTATGTTTGATCGATCTCCACCAAGATGGCTCCAAGAGCGCCCACAAGGCTCCCAAGAGCGCCCAAAGAGGGCCCCAAGAGGCGCCAAGGAGGCCCCAAGATACCCCCCAGAGACCCCCAAGAGACCCCCAAGAGGCCCCAAGAGGCTCCCCGAGGTACAGAAGACGCTCTAACAGGCCCCCAGGACCGCCGAGAGGCCGCAAATAGGCTTCCAAGCTCGCCATTTTCCTTTTCCTCTTCCTCTTCTTCTCCTCATCCGCCAAATTCCTCTCCTCTCTCATCCCCCATTCACTTCCTCCTCCTCCTCCTCCTCCTCCTCTTCCTCCTCCTCCTCCTTCTCGCCCTCCTCCACTTGATCCTCCTCCCCCTCCTCCTCCTCCTCCTCCTCCTCCTCCTCCTCCTCCTCCTCCTCCTCCCCGTCGTCCTCTTCTTCTTCTTCTTCTGCTTCCTCCTCCTCCTCCTCCGATTCCTCCTCCTTCCTCCCCCTCTTGGTGCACGACGGTTTCTCCAGCTCTTTATCTCCCTGTTTGCTCCCACACTTCCCTGATCAGAGCAACTGGCCGGGGCCTCGTTTCTGGATGGGCTGGTGGGAATACTTGTTTGATCGCGACCGCGGCGAAGAAAAGGTCGAACGGCGTCAACGGATGCATCGGCCTGAATTAGCGCACGGGAAGAGGAAGGCGAAAAGAGACAATACCAAGCAAGGGGGGAGGCAGACGGCTGGTGGGGATACTTTTTCCGTCGCAGCCGCAGGCGAAGGCGCACAGCGGCGTCGCAAGTCAGCTCGGGCTACGAGCAAAACTAATTGACCGACTGGTGGGGATACTTTTTAGTCAGCGGCCGCGGGCGAGCGCGCCAGCGGCGAGTCCAGTGAAAGCGGGGCACGCAGCGACAAATTCACCTAAAGCAACGGAGGGCGGCCTCACCTAAAGCGGCGAAGCGGGGCCTCACGCAGCACCTCAGCGGCGGACCGGCGAGTGGAGGGGGCAGCTGAAACTGAGTCGTACTGCCAGCGTACAGGTATGCACGGCGTCGGAAGCGACCGGTGGGGATGCGCGAAGCGCCAAGAGTTAACTTTGGGTGAAGCCGATCCTTCGCACGACGGGGGCCGCCGGCGCCCACTTGATCGGAGCGGCCTCGCGCTCTGCGGGGTCAGTGTGCTGCCACAGGAGGACGCCATCGGGCTGCTGCGCGAGGAGCCGGTAGGGCCCGTAGCCGGCACACGCGGGGTTGCTGAGGAGCACTTCCCCGTCCTGCCGCTTCATCAGCAGCGTCGCGCCGCCGAAGTCGACCGTGCCGTTCAGGCCCACCTCCACCGTCACCCCCGACGTGGAGGAGTAGCTGCCCCTCAGGGTGTGGAACTCCTTACCAGCCTGGAACATATCCCTATCCCTATGCTGGGCATCTCCTCATCACGATGCCAATCTTAGGGATTCCCTTTTTTTTTGAGGGCGAATCCCTAAGATTGTCATCGTCTCATGGCGTGTCAATCTTAGGGATAGGGATACGTTCGAGGCTGGTAAACTCCCCGCGGCTGCCGGAGCTGGACCTCGGCATCGGCGGTGGCGAAGTGTTGCTGGCCCTCGGCAGGGACCACGGCGACAAGCTGCTGCGAGGCACCAGCGGCCCAGGCCCAGGGCGGGGCGAGACGTGCGCGAAGGCCGCTCTGTCGCTGGGCAGCCCCTGGCGAGCTGCGGCAGGGGCGTGCGACAAGGCAGGGTGTGGGCTCCTCGCCATCGCTTGGAGGTCCATTCCCTGTGTTTTTGTTCGGTCTCGTGCGTGGTTTTTTTCGCCAAATGATCAAGGATGCTCCTCGATGGCCCTCGCCGAAGGAAAAATGCACACGTCCGAGCGATGCCAAGCGCAGGGGCGTGCGAAAAGGCAGGGTGTGGGCTCTGCTAAAACATCTCCGAGAGGCTGTGGACACTTTTGTGGACTCTCTGACGGCCCCAACGCACCTGGCCGCCGCTTATTCTCTGACCGCCAACGACGCACTTCGGAACACCTCGGAAAGGATCGCATTTGCGAATGTACTCTCACTTGCTTGTTGCAGAATGGGCCTGACGAGTATCGAAACGCTTCGTCTGTTTTGATTAGCCGTCGCACAAGAATGACCCCACGAACACCGGAGAAACGATTGGAGGTGAGAGCCTAGGTGGACAGAAACCCAGCATAGTTCGAAAGATGTGAAGAGGAAGAGGCGGGTGACGAACAGAGTGACGGGCACTCCTTAGCACGAGAACAGGGTCATGATGCGATTAGCTCAGGATACGTTCTGGGAATTGCGGAGTTGCGAGCTGCCCCTGGCTATTTGTACTCGGTCATTCGTCCCTGACCGCGCGGGAGGACAAGACCACGAGACCAAATCCTTGTTATTCCCGATACCGCCCGTGACTGGCGCCCCTCCCCCACGATTCGTGCAAGCGCTACCTGCAATCCTTAAACACTCCCACACGGCGCTGGCGCGAAGCGTGACGTGACCAGCACCGTCCCCCCCACCTTTGGTGATGCCTTTTCTCGCCAGGGGATACAGCAACGGCCTCAAAAAAAACCGGAAATCCTTGATCGCATCATGACTCGTGCCTTCTGCACCCCTTGAACTCTTCGAGTAAGGGATCGACTATATAAGCGATTCACCCCAAATTGATGTGTCCGTGGAATCCATTGGACATGCGTCGGATGTTCATGCTCCTAAAATCTACGAACATGCTACGTACATGACCAGACGAGAAAAAGGCCCATGCCGGCGCACGTGAACTCTGCAGCCGACCCCCTGCTCGAGTTCTTCTGCGGCCCCGAGCCTTCACCGGCGGCACCACCGGCCCGCTGGACTTGGGGGACGCGGACGGCGGCCTCTGGCCGAAGGCCACCGTGGGCGGGTCGCTCCGCTTCCACAGCGCCCGCGGCGCGGGGCTGAGCCGGCCGGAGCCGCGGGTTCCTCCGCGCGGGCGCCCGGCGCCCGGGCGTGCCGCACCCCGGCGAAGGGGCCCTCGTTCCCCGTCCTTCCTCCGCCGCCTCCACCTGGGCATCGTCTTGGGGCGGAGGGCTCAGGGTGAAATCCGTGTGTGCTCCTGCACCTCGAAGATCAGGCCGTCTTGTGTGTCACCTTGTGCAGAGTCAGGCCTCGAGGATCTCTATCGGAACGGCATTTCAGAAGTCCACCCTTCGCCCTCCACCCAAAGAGAATGCTCGGCCCGCTTCCCTCGCGCTCTGCAGCCCCCCCCCCCTCGCTCCCGATCGTTTTTGCCTCGGGGGGGTGGGGAAATGCTCCCCATCCTTCCTCCTCCGCCTCCTCTTCCCTCGCGCTCTTCAGCCGCCCCCTTCTCGCTCGTCTCGGGAGGGGGGGGGAGCGTGCGAGTGCCCTGGCTCCCGATCGTTTTTGTTTCCTCGGGGCGGGCCCCTGATGTCCATCCTCCCTCCGCCGCCTCCTCTCCCCTCGCGCTCTTCAGCCCCCCTCCCCTCGCTCGTATCGTCGCGGGGGGCTGGGGCGGGCGCCCGGGCACCCGATCGTTTTTCTCCTCGGGGCTGGGCAGCCGATCGCGCAAGTGGTTCCCCCGCGGAGGGGTGGGAGGCTCTGCGACTCTGCTCGGCGCGGCGAGCCCCGTGCGTGCAGCGAATAGAGTTAACCCGTGCAGAAAGGATGCGCGCTAAGGATGCAAGTATGCAAGGGCCTTGGACGCCCAATTCGATGCTCTTCGAGCGGGGCGCGGCCAACGAACGTGGCGAAGGATGGACCGAGGGGGCAAGGATGCAAGGGTAACCTTGGGAAGGCTGCCCATCCTTACTATGCGGGTTGACTGTACTCCGAGCGCGTCTCGCTGGGGAAGTCTGTCTGTGAGCATCTGGGTGTGAGAGCGAGTCTGCTTAGACAACGGGCGCGACAACGACGACGTCGACGGCGACGACATCAACGACGTCCTCCGCCTGTGGACACCTTCCCGGAGAGATGGTGGGCAGTCCTCGTGCGCTTCTCACTGCGGCAATTCGGGCAAGCGCGCATGGGATTGCTACGCCCGCTCTGTGGCGTGCTACTCGCGGCGCGACTCCTGAGTGCCCCCCCGCGGGGTATCCAAATGCCAAGCCTGCTGCATCGCAGTGAGCAGTGGACCACCAAAAAGAAGCAGTCTGGGGGTGCCTTTGACCGCGGCGTGGGTCAGCGCCGCTGCGAACATAAGTATTTCTTTCTTGGAGAGGGGCCAGCCCTCACTTGGTGGAGGCGGAGGAGGAGCCGACAGGGGAAATGGCCCGAGCACACGATAGCAGCAGAGTGCGCCAGCACGCACATCGTATAATGACGTACTGCCACTGCCATTGATGAACAACGCCAAGGCGAATGAATGGCATGAGTTGGCAGCGTGGTTCACAGTCCCTTCTTGCGGCGTACACGGCACTTCCACGTTAAGAGTCACCCCGACCCCAACAACCTAGACTTCCGACGTCATGAAGCCGCCAACCGCCAGAGCTCTCGACCCCTTCCCCAGGACATTTCGCTCGCCCTGGATACTTTTGTGGCGGCCTCCGAACGTCCAAGGGTTCGGTGAACCTCCAGCGCCATCTTGTCCGAGCCGCCAACGGGTCTGGGCCACTGGCAGGCGCCCGCCCAAGGACCCCGCCCCCCGCCCCCGAACGTCTGACACGATCCCGGCCCTGCAGACCCGTCCAGTGGAGAGGTTCCCAGGCAAGAACGTGCAATCTCCCCCTTCCTCTTCCTCCTCCTCCTCCTGCCAGACTAGCACCAGGTAAGCGTATTTGGGCCAAGAGTACACCGTGGGCAAAGCAGTTCGTCTCAGACATGAATGACCTTGCGAGCACGGATCCTGACATACATGCATGGTGGCACGCGCGCGCGAACGACATTAGCGTGTTCGACCCCAGCACAGAGGAATACAGCATGTGGATCAGGACAGACCCGAGCATCATGAATAGCGCAGCAAGAGAATGGGCAAAGAGCAGACCAGAGGAGCCAGAAGAAGACATGAGGGAGCCAGAGGAAGTTGAGAAACCCTTTTGGTGCGACTTCAGGGGACTGAACGAGGAGACGGGCGAGGAGGAGGTATGTGGGTGTCGTTTTCGATCGCACGCAGCACTTGCAGCACATAAGAGGGAATACCATCGTCTCGAACCACTACTGCGCAAACTAGTTGTAAGCAACCAGTGCCCGTGGTGTAGGTCTACTTTCTCGACACGTAAGATAGCGACAGACCACGTAGTACGAGCAGCGACACAGCACGGAGTTTGCCACGTGGATCATTCTAGATGGGTACACCCTGTGATCGAGCCAGCAGATCTGTCATGCAGCATTTGTGAGTATCAAGCGAAAGACTTCGACGACTTCCAGACACACGTTACCCTCCATCACCCAGGGCCTGTAGGTGTACTACACACAAGGCAACATGATGAGCTGGAGGGCGAAGAGGACGCTGGGCGGGGAGGCAGCAGCGTCGGGAGGGGCAGCGGCCTCGGCGGCAGCAGCTTCGGGTGGAGGGCATGCAGCAAAGGGGGCAGGCGGCAGGGGAGCCAAGTCAGCAAAGCAGCACAACGTGGCCGCAGCCCCCGAGCTTCAATCAGCAGTCGTTTCACTACAGAAACTGGCCCTGAAGACAGCCGCCGACCAGAGAGAGATGTCGAACACAGTTTTCGAGTTCTGGATTCTGCCCTACCTGGCGCCGCCTGTGCAGGCGGGGTTGGAAGCCGGCTTGGCGTATCACGAAACCGTGCGCTCGATCGGCAAAGGACACAACCAGGGCCCCCCCCACTCCCACGTCGCCGCAGGGTTCTTAGAGAGCGCTCACGGCAGCCTGAACGAGGCAGACCAGCACGAAGGACCAGCAAAGCAAGTACTAGGAGAACTGATGCAGGTCATGGGCAGCGAGCACGGCATGCAAATCACCAACGAAATATTTCGAGTGTTCCGCCTGAAAGAGACCTACAAGCCAGATGGGGTCGAGGACGCAGCTCGGAAGGTGAAATTACAGTACAGTATGAACATGCAGCCAGACCTTCGCACGACCCTCCAGCTCGCCACCAAGCAGGGCCAGGAGGTCCCCACAGTCCCGTCCACGATCGACATGCGCGCGCTGCAGGCAGCGTTCAACTTAGTACTGACCAAGCATCGGGGGGCCAGGCCAGTGGGACCAGGACCTCGCACGGAGCTCGAGCGCGCAGTCGAGAGGCAGCTCCGCAATTTACAGAGGCAGTGATTGCACAAGCGGAGATACTAGCACGAGACCCACAGAAGTTGACCAATATGTATCGGTTACTTGATGGGGGATCTGAGCGCGTGCGACACATAGTGCAAGCAGTAGAATTCGTTCGTGCCCGAATGGCCAGCACCACAGCCAAGTACGTTCAGGGAAGTGGGTCTGGGTCTAAATAATTTGTTACGGGGTCCACATCTTTAGTGCGCACCTCATCTACTACACAGATATGACTACTCGAGGGAGCTGTCATTCACATGAGGGTATTAGGAGGTCGTCCTTAGCCTTTTCCTCGAGCTTTCTGGAGAGCGCAAGGCACCAGCACGCCCAGCACCATGGCCAGTGGATCCTCTGCACGTGCTCCGACCCCGAAAGCAGCTCCGAGGCCTCGTCCTACGACAGTTGCCCGTGGAGCGGAGGCAGATGACTACATACAGACGGCCAAGATGACCCACGTCACTGCAGCTCAGCGCATCAAGCAACACCAGTCCATCATGATCGGTGAATACTCTCGCATGACGGCAAGCCTCAGATCGAGCGAAGCACAATTCAGTGTGCTTAGGAACTTGAGGTTTGAGGACTCCGAGGATGAACGGGAGCGTGTGATCCTGGTGCGCAATCTCTCGTCCCAGATCGAGTATATTAAGCACCAGAGGGACATAATCTCGCAGCTCCTTGAGAATTTCGACACGAAGAGTCCCAGCGTTGTAGAGCATAGCTATGTGCCAGATCCAGATGGGGATGGTGCCAGTGAGGTGAGAGGCAGTGCGAGGCAGTAGTATCTTGCACGTGCACGTGTGTCTTGCCCTCCCTCCCCCCTGCCTTCCCGAGAGAGTGCCCCTTCCCTCCCCCCGCCTCCCCCCCCCGCTCTACTACTACGACGTGCAGTGCTGCGACTTCCAGTGGGAGCGCCGGCGCCGCGCGCAGCGGGGGAGGAGGATTTAAAACATCGTGATTTTTTTCTCGGCTTGCAGAGTGCAGTGAGCCAGCAGAGTGCAGCGAGCGAGCGTGGCCCACAGAGGTTAGCTCGCTCGCTCCCCAGTTTTGGTTCCCCCATCAGTGCTTGCTCAGTTTGGGGTCTGGGCGAGAGGTCTGGCCCCAGGCAGTGCTTGCATCGGTGGAGGATTTGAGGCTGCAAGGGGGAGCCCCTGCTGGAGCGGGGCCGCTTCCAGCAACAGCTGGCGCGCCTCCCGCGGGCGGCGGAGGTGACGATACCCACAGTTGCAGTAGCTCACTGTCCTAGGGGCTTGATGTGCTGTTAAGTCATCGACTCATGGCCCCCAACGGCTCCACCACCACCACCACCTCCTCCTCGTCCTCGTCGTCAGCCGTCCTCCTCCTCCTCCTCCTCCTCCTCTTCCTCCGGTCCTCCTCCTCCTCCTCTTCCTCCTTCCTCCTCCTCCTCTCCTCCCTCCCCTCCTCCTCCTCCTCCTCCTCGTCCTCGTCCTCGTCGTCTCTCCTCTCCTCCTCCTCCTCCTCCCCTCCTCCTCCTTCCTCTCCCTCCTCCTCCTCCTCCTCCTCCTCCCCGTCCTCTTCCTCGTCCTCCTCCTCTTCTCCTCCTCCTCTCCTCCTCCTCTCCTCCTCCTCCCCTCCCCTCCTCCTCCTCCTCCTCCTCCTCCTCCTCCTCCTCCTCCTTTTCTCCTCCTCCTCCTCCTTCTCCTCCTCCTCGTCCTCGTCCTCGTCCTCGTCGTCAGCCTCGTCCTCCTCCTCCTCCTCCTCCTCTCCTCTCCTCCTCCTCCTCCTCTCCTCCTCCTCCTCCTCCCTCTCCTCCTCCTCCTCCTCCTCCTCCTCCCTCCTCCTCCTCCCCCTCCTCCTCCTATCCCTCCTCCTCCTCTACCTCCACCTCCCTCTCCCCCCATTCCTCGTTCTCCCCCAATTCTCCCCCCCTTCCCCCCCCCATTCCCCCTCCGTCCCCACACCCCTCCTCCCGCCGTCCTTCCCCGCTCCTCGCCGCCCGCCTCCGCAGCGCCCCCCCTCGCTCTGGGCGGATGCCCGGTCCGCTGGCGCGGGGGCTCAGGCTGCGGCAGCGGTGCGCCTGGTCGGCAGCCCTGTCCTGCCTATTCGCGTTCCCATCCTCGTGTTGTTACTGCTCCTCCTGCTCAGCCGTTGCTCCTTATGCAGGTGAGCCAGCACTAACCCCAAGCAGCGTTTGTTCTAGCGGCCTCGTTTGTGCAACATATGTGAAGCGGCGCATGAGCTGCAGCACACGTGGTGCAATACATTATGTGCTCTAAATGATGTGCGATCCATGGTGCAATCTAAGTGGTGCAGCCCATCACTTGTTCCACTTGATGTTGTCCACTCCAGTGCTCGCGCAAACATCCCACCCACCCACTCGCAACTTGATTTGCAAAAACCCCGCGCGGAAGCGATTGCGATGAACGCTCGGTTTTAGCTGGTGCATCTCTGCGGCCGTGCTGGCCCGCGCATGCTCACGAGCGTAGCGGACAGGTAGTTTGGCGCGACCGACACGAACGCGGTGGTGCTGACCGCTCGGCGCATTCCAACGGCCACTTCAGTGCGAGTCGGCGACTTGGGCGGGCGCGGTATCATGGCAACGTCGACAACGATAGAAACGATGATGATGGTAGCGATGCTGGCGACGATGCTGACAGCGTCGACGGGGCAGCCAGTGACGGCGCCGATGGTGATCACGCCGACGACGATGACGGCGTCATGGCGTCGGTGGTGAAGGTTTCGGAAAAAGAGTTCGGAATGCGCGCGCGGCGGACGCGCGAGAGTGACCAATATGGTATTATTTGACACGGAGCGCGCCACCCCAACACGCGCGCAAGGGTGTCCGAACGATTTCGACATGCGCGCGCGAAGCCTGTTACGTAGCAGGTCCGGAACATGTTGGAACCAACTTATGGGTTCTTAAGAAACAAGTTGTGTTTGAAGTCCGCGTTGCGAAACCATGCCTGTTGATATGCGTTTATTAAAACACTCGATTGTGAACTCCTTCCAGAACCGACGGTTTTTGAAGGATTTCGGCATGCGCGCGCGACGACGCGCGCGTGTGCACTTCGTCCCTTGTTTCCAAAGGGTTCTCGAAAACTTCTGGCTTTTGATAAACGAGTGTGCGCGCATAGTACTTTTGCAAAGGATGGCGGGGAAGGGGGGTACCCGTCTGGCTGGGACAATATGAGTTCACAGTTCGGATGGAACGCAGGACAGAATCATATGTAAATTGCAATACGAAAGAAATGAATATTTGACCCGGGGGGTAAAACATATTTTGTTATTCATATGGAAGAATCTGCGTGGTGGCACCTACGCAGTGCGCACGGTAGGCGATGCAATCGACGTGATGCAACATAGGTGGTGCACTATATGGTGTGTATTATGCACGGTACAGCGTACGTGATGCTATCTTTACGCGGTGCAATCTAGGTTGTGGGTTGAATCTCTGTTCGCACGGAGCTTTCCACTCCAATGCTCGCGCAAACATCCCACCCACTCACCCGCAACTTGGCTTGCAAACCTCATGCGGCGGCGATTGCGATGAGTGCTTGGCGCTGGCTGGTGCATTTTTTCGGCCGCGCCAGCCCGCGCATGCGCGAGCGCAGCGGCCAGGTACTTTGGCGCAACCGACACGGCCGCGGTGGTGCTGACCGCTCGGCACATCCCAGCGGGCACTTCAGTGCGAGTCGGCAACTTGGGCGGGTGCGGTAATTATCATGACAACGTCGACAATTGTAGACACGATGATGATGATGATAGTAGCGATGTTGGTGACGACGCTGACAGCGACGGCGGCGCGGCCAGTGACGGCGCCAATGCCGCTCACGCCGACGACGATGACGGCGCTTTCGCGTCGGTGATGAAAATTTTAGGAGGAATTCGAAATGTGCGCGCGGCAGACGCGCGAGAGTGGCCCGCATGGTATTATTTGACACGGAGCGTGCCACCCCAGCACGCGCGCATGGGTGTCCGAACAATTTCGACACGCGCGCGCAAAGCCTGTCGGGTAGCCTTTTTTTCCGGATCATGTCGAAAACAACCGATGTTTTTTATAAAAAAAAGAATTCGCACGACCGCGCGCGCACCCAAGCTGTTGTTGGAAATCCGTGTTGCGAAACCATGTGTTTTGATTGGTGTTTGCGACACTCGATTTTGAAACCCTTCCGAAACCGACGGTTTTTGAAGGATTTCGGCATGCGCGCGCGGCGACGCGCGCGTGTGCACTTCGCCCCACTTTTCCAAAGGATTCCCGAACACTTATGATTATGATAAACGAGTGCGCGCGCATAGTGTTTTTGCAAAGGATGGCAGGGGGGCGATGCCGGTCTGGCTGGGACAGTATGAGTTCACAGTTCGGTTGGACGACGGGGCAGAATCATATGCAAATTGCAATACGAAAAAATTAATATCTAACCGGGTGGTGGTGGTGGTAGAACATTTTTTGTTATAAAAAAGGAAATCTGTGTGGTGGAACCTACGCAGTGCGCAGGGTAGGCGATACAATCGACGTGGTGCGACATAGGTGGTGCACTATATGGTGTGTATTATATGCGGCAAAGTGTATGGGAGGCTATCTCTACGCGGTGCAATTTAGGTTATGCATTCAATCTCTGTTCGCAGTGAGTCATCCACTCCACTGCTCGCGCAAACATCCAACCTACCCACCCGCAGCTTGGCTTGCGAACCTCAGCGGCGGCGATTGCGATGAGTGCTTGGTGCTGGCTGGTGCATCTCCGCGGCCGCGCCAGCCCGCGCATGCGCGTGCGCAGCGGCCAAGTAGTTTGGCGCAACCGACACGGCCGCGGTGGTGCTGACCGCTCGGCACATCCCAACGGGCACTTCAGTGCGAGTCGGCAACTTGGGCGGGCGCGATATCATGGAACGTCGACAAGTGTAGACACGATGGCGATGATGACGATGCTGATGATGATAGCAGCGATGTTGGCGACGATGCTGACAGCGACGACGGCACGGCCAGTGACGGCGCCAATGTCGATCACTCCGACGACGATGACGGCGTCTTCGCGTCGGTGATGAAAGTTTTAGGAGGAATTCGACATGCGCGCGCGGCAGACGCGCGAGAGTGGCCCGCATGGTATTATTTGACACGGAGCGTGCCAGCCCAGCACGCGCGCAAGGGTGTCCGAACCATTTCGGCATGCGTGCGCTCGAAGCCCGTTGGACAGCATTTCTGGAACATGTTGTAAAAGCAATGGTTTTCTTAATAATTCGCATGAACGCGCGCACGCTTTTGTTGAACATCCGTGTTGCGAAAAACTGAGGTGTTGTTTGTGTTTTGGACACTCGATGTTGGAACCTTTCCGGGTCCGGAAGTTTTTGACGGAGTTCGGCATGCGCGCGCGACGGCGCGCGCATGCACTTCGCCTCGTTTTTTGCAAAAGACTCTCGCGACGGCACGCGCGCAAGGGCGTTCGAACGATTTCGACAAACGCGCGCGCGAAGCCCGTTTGGTAGTATGATCTGAAAATATTGAAAGCAACCTATGGTTTCTTAAGAATTCGCAAGACGCGCGCGCACCCAAGTTGTTTGTGAAAATCCGTGTTGCGAAACCCTATGATTTAATATGTGTTCTGGACTCTCGCTTCTGAAATCCTTCCGAAACCTGGGGTTTTTGAAGGATTTCGGCATGCGCGCGCGACTACGCGCGCGTGCGCACTTTGTTTCGTTTTCTTTTTTTGTTGCAAGGGATTCTTGAACACTTCAAATGTTTGATAAACGAATGTGCGCGCATAGTGTTTGTTGCAAAGGATGGCGGGGGGGGCAATACCGGTTTGGCTGGGATTTTATGAATTCACAGGTAGGATGAACATTGGGTCAGAATTATATGTAAATCGCAATACGAGAAACAAATCATCTAACCCCAGGGGGGTGGGTGGTAGAACCCGTCTCCTTCTTAGAAAGGAGAATCGATGTGGCGCAATCGATGTTAGGCAACCGATGTTCAGCAGTAGACGGTGGTACCTGCGAAGTGCATTATACGCTGTGCACTATCGATACCCACACCTCCATGTAATGAACAATCGTTGTTGTACACTATAGGTGGTGCAATCAATGTTGTGCAATATATCGCGTGCGATATATGTTTCGCAGCCCATGTTCAGCCATTTACGCGATGGGCGACGACGACGAAAACGACGACAACGACGAAAACGACGACGACGACGACGACGAAGACGACGACGACGACGATGACGACGACGACGACGACGACGACGACGACGACGACGACGACGACGACGACGACGACGACGACGACGACGGTGGGGGGGGGCGAGGCGAGGAGGGGGAGGTGGGAGGGGGAGGGGGAGGGAGGGAGGAGAAGGGAGAGGGCCAGAGGGAGGGGGGAAGGGAACGAGAGGGAGGGAGGGAGGGAGGGAGTGGACACTTCAACGGACGGGGCCCTGAGGCACGGGGCCCTGGGGCGAGGCAGGCGGGGCACAGTGCTGACTCAACCTGTGGCAGCCCTTTCCTGCCCCCAGGGCCCCCGCCCCTCCCCCTCCTCCTCCTCCTCCTCCTCTTCCTCCTCCTCCTCCTCTTCCTCCTCTCCCTCCTCCTCCTTCTCCTCCCCCTTTCCCTCCTCCTCCTCCTCCCCCTTTCCCTCCTCCTCCTCCTCCTCCTTTCCTTCCTTCCCTTCGTGGAACCACCGAGGGAGGCAGGAGAAGGCAGGGACGCCAAGGAGGGATGACCCTGAGATCCGACGCTTCGAAACAAGTGCCACACCGCAGCCAAAAACACGACCAGAGCCCGGGAACCCATCTTTCTGCGACCCTCTGCGAGCCAGATCGCTCCGTGAGGGCCCCTAGGGCCCGAATCCGGGCGGAATTGCCCGGCTCGAACACATTGCAACCCCAAGACATCAGACGAGGTGGAACTCGGAACTCGGAACTCGGAAGTCCGCGAAAAGACGCCAGAGGGCATCGTTGCCGAGGGTGTGCACGACGCTGAAGACGCCCTGCAGATCGGAGCTCGCCCACGTGGAGTGGGCTGTGTGTGAGGAAAACAACGACAAGTTGTGGGCGTAAGAAGCCAATGACGAGGACACTTGGCATCCTCGCCTTGATTAGAGGCCTCCTAGATGGGGTCCGAGTAAATGGGCTTGGAGGATCTCGCCGCATTGCCGATACATCGGCGATGCGTCGGCCATGCACTGGCGACGTCGGCGATATATCCGCGACGTCGGCGTGGAGAAAATCGGGCACCACATCGAGCCGCATCGCCGATGCATCGCCGATGCATCGGCGATGCGGCGAGATCCTCCGACCCCATCTACTCCGACCCCATCTAGGTGGCTTAGTTTGATTGCTCCCGCGACAGGTGTTCGCAAGTCGTCCCCCCCCCGCGAGGGGAAGAGGAGCGGCCGCCTGCGCGGACGGCTGATCAAAGGCTGGCTTTCCGTCCTGAATCGTTTTTTGACGCTCCCGAGGCCTGGCGAGGGCCCCCGGAGGCCGACCACTGCCTGCATCCCGCCGCTCCAATGTTATTGCTTGCTGGAGCGCCGGACCTCTGGGAGGCGGGGCGCGGAGGCGCGGGCGGGGGAGGGCTGGGCTGGGCAGGGAGGAGGAAGGGTGAAGGGTGAAGGGAGGAGGAGGAGGAGGCGGAGGAGGAGGAGGAGGAGGAGGAGGAGGAAGAGGAGGGTGGAGGAGGGTGGAGGAGCAGGAGGAGGAGGAGGAGCAGGAGGAGGAGGAGGAGGAGGAGGAGAGGAGGAGGAGGAGGAGGAGGAGGAGGAGGAGGAGGAGGAGGAGGAGGAGGAGGAGGAGGAGGAGAGGAGGAGGAGGAGGAGGCGGAGGAGGAGGAGGGGGAGGAGGAGGGAGGAGGGGAGGAGGAGGAGGAGGAGGAGGAGGAGGAGGAGGAGGAGGAGGAGGAGGAGGAGGGCGGGGGAGGGCGGAGCGGCCGGCCTGCGCGGACGGCGGGCTGGCGCTGGCAGCGCGGGCGGGGGACGCGCGGTGCTGCTCGCCGCGGCCAGCGGGGGCGCGGGCGCTGCGGGGCGGCCCGCGCGCGGCCGGGGACCTCGGCGGGGGGAGAGCGGCGCGCGCGCGCTGCCGCCGAGGGGGGGCGGCCGCGAGCTCTGCGCCCGGCCAGAGGTCGTCGTCGTCGTCGTCGTCGTCGTCGTCGTCGTCGTCGTCGTCGTCGTCGTCGTCGTCGTCGTCGTCGTCTCCCTCCTCCTCCTCGTCCTCCTCCTCCTCCTCCTGCTCCTCCTCCTCCTAGCCCATATCCCCTCAAGGTGGGGGTTGGGGAATCATACTTGAGAAGGGCGCACAGATTCCCCGAGCCTTGATGTCTACATGGGGCGCGGATGCTGCGAGTGCCATCATCTCGGCGGCGGTGGCGTCGGCGCTGAGGACGGTGAACGAGCTCCAGCAGGCGCAGGCGGCGTCGCCGGGGCCCCCGCCGGGGGACTGGCGCGAGCCCCTGCCGCTCCCGCCGGCGGAGCGGCTCCCGCCGAAGCAGGCCAGTCGCCCGGAGGCCAGGCCGACGTCGGCGCAGCGGCCTCTGCCGGCCATCGGGGCCCTGCCGACGGAGGCCCCACGCTCGAAGGCCAGGCCGTCGGCGACGCTTCAGCCGCTGCTTGCCATCGCGGATGGCTCGCTCCAGGAGCGCAAGAACAGGTGGACGTCGCGCAGGGCGTCGCCTTCGGCTCCATCGGCAGGCGAGGCGCCATCAGATGGCATTCCATAGGCTCCCCTCGAGAGCGACCCGCAGGAGACGCAGGAGATCGTGTGGGATTGCAAGGCCGAGGAGAGGGAGGACGCGCTGGAGAGGCAGCGCTTGAAGGAGATCCGCAGGCTGAAGCTCGAAGAGCGGCTGAAGCCGAAGGACAAGAAGGACAAGAAAGACAAAAAAGACAAGAAGGAGAAGAAGTCTTCCAAGGAGAAGAGGTCGGCGGCGGAGATGGACCCTGGTCGTGCGCCGTGGCGACGCTGATCCAGTGCTTCGCGCTCAATGCCAAGGACGTGGAGCATCAGTGGCTGGATGACGGGCTGGGTGCTTGGTGGCACGGGGACGGCTCGGACAACCAGCAGTACACCTACGAGGATAACATCAAGAGTGTCCACAGTTTTGGGCCAGGCGTGGCAGGTGCAGCTGCAGAGCCTGGGCACAGTTTTGACGCTCATGACGAAGCAGATGCGGCGGCGGGCAGCGCCTCTAAGAGCTGCAACATCTACGACGGCATCGGCCAGGTTGAGAGCAAGCAGCGCGACGGCTTCGAGGAGGTGCGAGCGCTGAATGAGCAGGCCTTCATGAAGGTGGAGCGAGTGCATGCCCAACGAGCTGCAGCGCTTCGCCTTCAGACGGACTCGGTCGTAAAGGTCATCATGGAGAAGGTGAAGCAAGGGGTGCGTGGAAGGCACCACGCCGTACATGTCACGGAATCGGTGCGCGCGGCCTCCGACCTGAACACGTTCGAGAAGCTGGGCGGGCTGGAGATCTGCAACTCCATCTGCGACGGCTTTGACACGCAGGACACCACGGACCGCGACACGTTCGAGGAGCAGGGAGGGTTGGGGGGCGCCCCCATCTGCGACGGCCTCGACAAGCACGTCTGCGATACGGTCGAGGATCAGGGCGGGGTGGAGAGCGACTCCATCGGCGACGGCCTCGACAAGCAGATTGACGTCGACACGTTCGAGGAGCAGGGCGGCATGGGGAGCGACTCCAGCGGCGACGGCTCTGACAAGCAGGGCGTCGGCGACACGATCGAGGAGCAGGGCGGGTAAGTCTGCAGCGACTCCATCGGCGACGGCCTCGACAAGCACTACGACGACGGCGGCACTTTCGAGGAGCAGGGCGGGGTGGAGAGCAGCGACTCCATCGGCGTGGGCCGGCCTCGACAAGAAGGGCCAGATCGGGGCGCATCGGCCTCGGTACGTGGATGTCGTCACGGGCGACACGGCGGAGCACCAGGTCCGGAGCGCCCTGGAGGAGGCGGGCCTCGTGCTCTGCGAGCTCGGGTTCAGCGCGATCGTGGACCACGTGCGCAGGGGCGGGAGCCTCGAGGTCTTCATGAAGTGGGCTGCGGTTCGTCAAGCTGGGGCAGCTGCTGGAGACCTTCCTCGTGGGCCCGCCGCCTGAGGGCGGCGGGATTGGGGGCGGCAACGGTGGTCGGGACCTCCTCGCTGCGTGAGGTCCCCTGTGCCCTTCGCGCCCCCACCAGGCGTTGCCATCCTCCTGAAGGCCAGGGGCTGAGGAGGGCGGCCTCTGAAGTCGGCCGATGCCGCACTGCTTTTAGAGCGCTCCACTACTACTACCTGCCTATCCTCCTCCTCCTCCTCCTCCTCCTCCTCCTCCTCCTCCTCCTCCTCCTCCTCCTCCTCGGGTCGGAGTATCGCCCCGCGTCGCCGATGCATCGGCGATACATCGCCAGTGCATCGGCGATGAATCGGCGACGTCGGGGAGGCACCTTTGGACGCCCGAAATGGGCACGCGGCGTCCTGTCTCAAATGGACACAGGCCGCGGCGACACCGACAGCGAGCCCTGTTCAGAATGAACAGGAACTGCTGTTGGGCATGGTGCCCATTCTTTCCGTACCCATTATTGCCGCCGCTCGGACGTCCGTGTCCCGTGCGTTTGTCGGCTTCGTGCGTTTTTTTGTTTGCTCGATGGTCCAGGATGGTTCTCGATGGTTCTCGCCGAGAAAACGCACACGTCCGAACGATGCCAAGAATTCCGCTCGTGCCGAGCATCGACACCGTCGGCGCGGAGAAGATCGGGCTCCGCGTCGAGCCGCATCGCCGATGCGCCGGCGATGCGGCGCGGCCCCCCGCCCCTCCGACCCCCTCCAGGAGGCCTTCGAGGCACGCAGGAATAGTCCACAAATGCTCAACAATAGTCAAACTGTTTTTTATTAAAAAATAAAAACACAAAAAACTAAAAAAACATCCCCTGACTATTTTTGTCTATGTTTGAAAATTCCGCCTGTAGAGGGACAGGCCCGACTTGGCCCAATCGGCGGCAAGCGGGGGGGGGGACTGAGAGGGAGAAGGCCTTCTCAGAGGACGGCGGCACTTCCCAGAAGAGCACACTCGCGCCTTCTGAGAAGTGCTCTGCGTCTTCGGGGAAGGCTCAGGACACTTCCGAGAAGGCCGGGGGACTGCCGAGCCGTCTGAGAAGGCCCGCCCCTTCTCACTTCCCCCCCTCGCTCGCCGCCGACCTAAGCAAGAATGACCTCACAGTCGGGCTGCTGAACCGTGCCATCGCTCGGACGTCCACTCCTCGTGATTCTTGTTCGGTACCGTATCGTGCGTGCTTTTCTTGCCAGGTATCCCAGGCTGCTCCCCGATGCTCCTCGCCGAGAAAAAAATGCTCGTGTCCGAGCGATGCCTGGGAGTGACCTCGCAGTTGGGCTGCTGACCCTTGCCATCGCTCGGACGTCCATGCGTCGTGCATGTTTCTTCGGTCTCGTGCGTGCTCTTCTCTTGCCAGACGTGATCCAGGAAGCTCCCCGATGGTCCTCGCCGAGAAAAACGCACACGTCCGAGCGATGCCAGGGAGCGACCTCACAGTCGGGCTGTGGAAGTAAGGAACGCTAAACAAGGAACGCAGCCTCTCTAGCGCCAACAGAGCCTCGGTTCACGAGGAGGGCCAGAGGAACAACCACGGAGTGACCTCAAGCACAGCGAGCCCCTTCCGAACCCCACGCGGTCCTCAGTCACGCGTCTTGCCTGTGCAGGGCGCTGCCGTCGCAGCTTTTTTGTTCGGAGATCGGGGGGGAGGACAGCGGACCCGCACCAGAGGTCACTCGGGCTAGATTGACGGCCCCAGGACCCAGCGAGGCCCCCCCCCAAGCCGAAAACGATGAAACCGATCCATACCGGCTCTTTCGCACACTCGCGGGACGCGATCGGCGACGGCGACGGGGCGATCGGCGGTGGGCTGGCTCTCGGCGATCGCGGGTCCTGCTGTCTGAGGAGGCAAACAAAACTACCGATGCCGCCGCTCCGAATGGTCACTCTTACACGCGGCCGACCGGCGCGCCGGTCGGGCCGAGCTCAGCGGCCGAGCTGGCCGGGCGCGCCGCGCGCGGGGGGGGCTGCGCCCGCCCAAGCGGCAGCGGCATCGGTAGGAGGCCTGCCTCCCCAGACCCCGACATCATGAATTGTTCATGACGTCGACCCCCAGAGGTCCGGACCCATTCCCCGGGACCGGTTTTTCGTCCTGAGTCGTTTTTTGACGCTCCCGAGGGCCGGTAAGGGCTCCCGGAGGCCGAAAATCATGAAAAACCTCGCGTCGTGATTTTTTCATTACTCGAGGGGGTCTGGGTCCTCGGAGGAGAGCGGTGCTCGCGCGGTCGGCGGGAAGCTGGGCGGCGGGGCACTTCCGGGTCATGGCCGCGGCCGGCCCAGAAGCTCCCGACCCTGCGGCGGGCGGGGGTCGCGTCCCCCGCCTCCTCTCCTGGCCCTGCAGCTCCTTGCTGAAGGGGCCCCAGGACACACACAAATAGATACACACAAGCAGAAGGAGGATGCCCCATCTTTTCCCACATGTTCTGGGTTCCTGTCTTCCCCCCCACTTCCCCCACGTTTTCCCATACTCTCGAGGGACTCGAGGATTAATGTGTGCCTGTGTGCTTCTCTTCCTCCTGACACGGGCGCCCTCCCCCGCGGCACCGACGCCCGCCGGGAGGGGCTGCCCTGGCTGGAGCGCCCCCCCCCCCCGCTGCGCGGCCTGCGGCCTGGGAGCCGGGCGCTCCGGGTCCTATCTCTCGGCCTCTCGGCCAGTGCCCAGGGATGCTGCAGGATGGCTTCCAACCCAGACCCCCTCGAGTAATGAAACAATCATGACGGGATGTTTTTCCTAATTTTCGGCCTCCGGGGGCCCTCACCGGGCCTCGGGAGCGTCAAAAAACGACTCGGGATGAAAAACCGGTCATGGGGAAAGGGTCTGGACCTCTGGGGGTCGCGTCATGAAAAAATCATGACGTCGGGGGTCTGGGAAGAGCGTCACTGCCTCTTCTGGAGGCCTGGAAACGGGCACCAACACCAAGACAGGGGGCTGCCTCCACAGGCGGGAGATGACCCTCGACTTCGGCGTTGGTGGTCATATTCCGGTCACCTCGGAAGCCAGAATATTACCACCATCACCGAGATCGGGATCCTCTTCCCTCGGTGGAGGCACACCGCCGATCTTGGTGTTGGTGCCAACCTCTAGGCCTGCGACTCTTGGGGCTTCGGGCTCTCGCTCCCAAGAAGCCAGAGGTGAAGGGGATGTGGACAAGGATCGGGCCCCCGAGGGCCAGCTGCTTATCCCTCCTCGAAAGCGCCTCGGCCTTGTGGCGCCCCTTCCCCAGGAAGCCCAAGACGCAGTGGACAAATCTCTCTCTCTCTCTCTTGATTTGTTATGCTTGTTTGTTTGTTTGTTTGTTTGTTTGTTTGTTTGTTTGTATCCTGTCTATCTCTCTCTCTCTCCCTACTGTTTAAATATCTGTATACATACACACATACATATCTTGCCCGCGCCTCCGCCGCAGCAGCCGCGGGTCCTGCGCCCACGAGTCCGCGGCACTGCCGCCACCCTGGCGCAGGACCTGGAGGCGCGCCCGGAACTCGTCGAGCGACCAGATCTCCCTGCCTCGGCGGACTGCTCTGATGGAGCAGGAACAATCAGCTGCACGCAGGAGTAACCGTGGGTAAGAGTGCCCTGTGGCGCGCGGCTTCTTGGGGACCGCGGGGGGGCCAAACACGAGCGCGCAGGACGCCACCATATCGCATCGCGTTCGGCGATCGGGGGACCCCAGTGGTCCCGTAGATGGACAAAAAAGTGGAACCCTTGACCCTGCCCCCTCCCCTCCCCCCACATTCAAAGTTGTTCCCAGATGTTCAAGAGCGCAGGCTTGAAAGGACAGAAAAGTGGAACCCCCGGGGCCTCCACCACGCCAGAGGCCAACTTTGAGTCGGGGGGAAGGGGGGGGACGAACATGGTGTCGACGACGAGCGGGGTCCACTTTTTTGTCCCCTTACTGGCCCGCACCAAAGGTCACTCTGGCGAAGGGTTACTCCAACGTGTGGTCGAGAACAGTCAGCATAATTAGACCTGCGATACACCGACGACAGATCGGCAGTAGGCCCCCGCTGGCGAATCCGAATGTTCCTGAGCAGCTTGGAGCTGTCTGGCCCCCTCGGCGATTACTGAGCGATTGGTTTAGGTCGGGCATGTCCTCCTATAGGCGGATTCTGGGCGAAAAACCAAAATTATCCCGGCAAAGCAACCTAACAGCGATGTGTAGGAGCACATCTGGAAGCATTCCCCTTACGATTCAGATGAGAATCCAGTTGTAGAATTCTGCTGTTCTTGCAGTCGCAGTCGCATTCGCGATGACAGTCGAAGTGGCAACGGCACGCGCAGTCACAGCCTCAGCCTCAGCCTGCCTCAGCCTCAGCCTCAGCCTGCCTCAGCCTCAGCCTCAGCCTGCCTCAGCCTCAGCCTCAGCCTGCCTCAGCATCAGCCTCAGCCTCGGCCTCAGCCTCAGCCTGCCTCAGCCTCAGCCTGCTCAGCCTCAGCCTCAGCCTGCCTCAGCCTCAGCCTCAGCCTCAGCCTGCTTCAGCCTCAGCCTCAGTCTGCCTTCAGCCTCGGCCTCAGCCTGCCTCAGCCTCAGCCTGCATCAGCCTCAGCCTCAGCCTCAGCCTGCCTCAGCCTGCCTCAGCCTCAGCCTCAGCCTGCCTCAGCCTCAGCCTCAGCCTGCTTCAGCCTCAGCCTCAGCCTCAGCCTCAGTCTGCCTTCAGCCTCGGCCTCAGCCTCAGCCTGCCTCAGCCTCAGCTGCATCAGCCTCAGCCTCAGCCTCAGCCTCAGCATCAGCCTGCCTCAGCCTCAGCCTCAGCCTGCCTGCCTCAGCCTCAGCCTGCTTCAGCCTCAGCCTCAATCTGCCTTCAGCCTCGGCCTCAGCCTCAGCCTGCCTCAGCCTCAGCCTGCATCAGCCTCAGCCTCAGCCTCAGCCTGCCTCAGCATCAGCCCTGCCTCAGCCTCAGCCTGCCTCAGCCTCAGCCTCAGCCTTCCTCAGCCTCAGCCTCAGCCTGCTTCAGCCTCAGCCTCAGTCTGCCTTCAGCCTCGGCCTCAGCCTCAGCCTGCCTCAGCCTCAGCCTGCATCAGCCTCAGCCTCAGCCTCAGCCTGCCTCAGCATCAGCCTGCCTCAGCCTCAGCCTCAGCCTGCCTCAGCCTCAGCCTCAGCCTGCTTCAGCCTCAGCCTCAGTCTGCCTTCAGCCTCGGCCTCAGTCTCAGCCTGCCTCAGCCTCAGCCTGCATCAGCCTCAGCCTCAGCCTCAGCCTGCCTCAGCATTCAAAATGTGGCCCGGGAATGGCGTTCTGGAAACTCGAAGAACACGAAGTGGCCTACAGTTGGCTCGGGGCATTCAAAATCATGTCCAGGAATGGCATTCTGGGAACTCGAAGACCACGAAGTGGCCTACAGTTGGCTCCGGGCATTCAAAATCATGCCCAGGAATGGCATTCTGGGAACTCGAAGACCACGAAGTGGCCTACAGTTGGCTCTGGGCATTCAAAATCATGCCCAGGAATGGCATTCTGGGAACTCGAAGACCACGAAGTGGCCTACAGTTGGCTCTGGGCATTCAAAATCATGCCCAGGAATGGAATTCTGGGACCTCGAAGACCACGAAGTGGCCTACAGTTGGCTCAGGGCATTCAAAATCATGCCCAGGAATGGAATTCTGGGAACTCGAAGACCACGAAGTGGCCTACAGTTGGCTCTGGGCATTCAAAATCATGCCCAGGAATGGAATTCTGGGAACTTGAAGACCACGAAGTGTGTAACTGTTTGCTTAAAACGACTTCCGCGGATTATCCCCGGCACCCGTCCGGCATCTGCCCAGACCCCCCTGAGGAGTCAAGATGCTTTCTTTTGATACCATTAGAAACCTATCAGTCTTCGCTGTTAGGTAAATGCTCCACAAATGCTCAAAACTAGACTCTCTCTATATATACATATATATATATATATAGAGAGAAAAATCGTCCCCTGACTACCTTGTGAGTATGTTTGGGTATTCCCCCTGTAGAGGGACAAGCCCGATTTAACGATTGGTGGTCGAAGCATCCCCCCTGAGCCCATCCCCCCTTGTCGTTGCCCATGATGTCCTCCTTCTCGCACTGAGGGCAAGATCGATGAACATCGAATCGGACCGCATCTGCTCGGAGTCGGACTCAGATCGAGTCGGCGGCGCCGGGAGGCACAGTAGCTCCAAGCAAGCATCGGTTCGCATCGGCTTGCCAGAAAATCGGAACCCGATCGAAGCGGGCCTCCACGTCCTCCTCCTCCTCCTCTTCCTCCTCCTCCTCCTCCTCCTCCTCCTCTTCCTCCTCCTCCTCCTCCTCCTCCTCCTCCTCGTCCCTCCTGCTCCTGCTCCTGCTCCTGCTCCTGCTCCTGCTCCTGCTCCTCCTCCTCCTCCTCCTCCTCCTCCCGATGTCGCATCGGACCACTCGGATCGCAGTGGACCCCTGGGGGGGGGGGGGGGGCGCGGGCGGAGCGCGTCTGACCGCCGCCCAGGGCCGCCACGCCCCTGCCGCGCGGCGGCACACCCATCCCGAACTCTCGAGGACCGGAGCGAGAGAGAGAGAGGGGGAGGAGGAGCGGCGGCCGGGAGGGAGGAGGAGGAGGAGGAGGAGGAGGAGGAGGAGGAGGACAAGGACAAGGACAAGTCGCTCGGGGAGAGATCCGCTGCCGCGGCAGCAGCCTGGACCTAGTCTAACCTCCCTGCGTAGTATACGGACGCGGGCCCTGCTCTGGGGCCTGCCAGCGGGCGCGGACGGGGGGCCGTTGCCCTCGGTCCGCGGCCGCACACGGCGAGGACGTCGCTCCTCGCTCTCCCGACTTGCACAAAAGACAGGAGCGGGGGCCGTCGCTGGCCCAGTCCCTGGGCGAGCGGGGCCCCTGAGGGGGGAGGGGGCGCTGAGCGGGGGGGGAGGGGAAGCAGCAGGCTAGGCAGGGGGAGGGCGGGGCGGCGGCGGGCGGTCCTCGTACTTCGAGAACGCGCGCGCGGGCGCGCGCCGCTCGCCGCTCGCCGCTCCGCTCCTCGTTCCTCGACCCGACCCTCTCACCACCCTCCCCCCTCCTCTAAGCTGATCTGCTGCGCTGACATTATGGCTCACCCTGTTCCCTGGACGTCGTTGTGAGAACCACATGCACACTCACTGCACGTCTCATCCTGTGATACCCATAATTCTAATCCACCCGTCACATGTGTATAATAGTAGTGCGTCCCTGTCGTCGCACCGCACCGCCAAGAGTACTGTCTACTGTTTGAGGCCCCCCTGTCCCATGCTGTCTGGTAGGAGGTCCTGTTCTTGTTGTCTCTTGGCTCGGTAGTAAAGGGCATAATCATATAGCATTTGTATCCTCTGCCTTTTCCTGGACAGTTTTTTTTCAAGTTGGGTAGCTGATGGGGGTCCATGCTAATGTTATTGGCATTTATTTCCTCGGCAGTAACTGGCGGGTAGTTCGGGGCAGGCCCCGTTCCTTTCCAGGTCACCACAGTCCTCGGCACAGGCGGTGGGTCAGGCAACTGTAATCCTGACCTCTGATATGCATCTGCAATAGTCGCTGCATTGAATGAATCTTCTATTGTGCCGAAATCCAATAGCATGTCAGGGTCAACGGCCGTCGAGCTGGAGCTGCCAAAAGGACCCCTCATCTGCTGGTGCTGGGTGCCCTCGTGTGGCGCCCTCAACGCCTCTGTAGCTGGCGCAAGTTGCGCTCGCAAGTCCTCTCCAGCTCCGTCTTCGGGCCGCTGCTGTTGCTCTTCTTGCCGTTGGCCTCCTGGAGGCCGCGCTCGATTGCCGCCTTCAGCAGCGCCGGTTGGAACAGGGCCAGCTTCTGGATGGTCGCCTCCTCCGCCTTCGTGTCTTTCAGCACCATCGCGAGGTTGGGCATCGGGTTGACCGAGAACACCAGCTTGCCAAGCTGATCTGCATCTTCCATGCCGTCCTTTTTGTACGTGTTCGTCGCCTTGCACAGGAGGATTGTCTCGGCCAGGACCACGGGGCCGTGCTCCTCGCTCACCGCCTGGACGAACTCCGTGATCATCGCCAGCGTCTCCTTGTCCCTCTTGTTGGGGTCCATCTTGTCGTCGAGCACCTTCTGGGCCGCCTTCAGCATCGACAGGGCTGCATGAATACGTGGGGGGCCCAGTCCGCGGCCTTTTCCTTGAGCTCGTACTGCCGCCGCGTAATCTTTTCCCGCTCCACTGGTGTCTTTGAATGGTCCGCTTGTGATCGGCAGCAGCCAGAAGCTCGTGTTGATGTGCATCAGGTCCCTGGCCTCCTGCGACGTCCTCAGCGCGAGCTTGTGCAGACTGGCCAGGTAGTCTGCGAACCCTGTTGCACCACCTCCTGGCGGTCCTCCTCCCCCCCCGCCGTTGTTGTCGCCCTTGTGCTTCTTGCCCTTGTCCTGCTCCTCTGTCGATTCTGGACGCTTTACCCCCTTCTGGCCGACGTGCCACATGCTGCTGAGACTGCTTGTCGGTTGACAAGCGCACTTCCCTGGGGCCGACGTGATGCTTCCTCGCGTGAAGCTGGAAAGCCGAAAGGTTTTGAGCCTCAAGGCCACAGATTTTACAGACG